ACGAAATACATCAATCTAAAGCTCAACGTGAAAATTCTAGCGATTCCTTTCCTTCTAAACATAAACTACGAGAATATAATCAACGATGCCACGGAGTTAGAGGTTAGTTTCGCGAGTTTATGTTTAGCAAAAGAAGTTTCAACGTGTTTGTTCACATGAAAACATCTGCGATAGCAAAGTGGCAAATCAAAATTCAATACTCACTGCAGCATTTTTCTAACCTCAGTAGATAGCTGCTTGTCGTTTATCGCAGTGGATGTTTGGCAGTTACTGATATGACAATGAACGGAGTGACAGAATCCGAGCAATTAGCGTACTTACAGTCCGATGAATTTAAATAGTGTTGACTGTTGGGAAATTTGTTTTTCTTTTCTTTGTTGAACTCGTTTCTCGACGATACAGATTTATTCCGGAGGTAATATTGTTCTTGTACAATATTACTAGTTAACAACAGGAAAAGCAGTATAAAATATGTATGTATATAACACTATGAATTGATAAGCAATGATAAATTAGTTGTACAAAAAGCAATTAGTATGATCAACTAACAAACTCCTTGCCGTTGCCTTGGACAATAATTTGATTGTCGGTTAGTTGATAGGCCGTTGAATTGGGAATACGTTATGGGAAATGTATTTGGTGAATAGAAGAATATCGTAGATTGTTGTCCAATGGCGCGGATAGGCGAAGATGTCGTCGCTTGTAGTTTATACGTGGGGGATAAGCGAAGAGGATGTATCGTCTGCTGGTTTGTAAAAACTGAACTCTCCAGGATTTTTTCACATATATATGTGTAAGGATTAGGGAGGAGCTTTGTAAGCACCATTTAAGGTACTTACAAAGCTGACAATAATTTCACTCATACAAGAGATGTTTACATAGAGGATTAGATTTCTTTGTAAGAAGGAAAATCGCCATAAATCATCTCAACATCAATGGAAAAGATATTCTTACCGATTGACGTTAGACAACAAATTGACCTCTAACAAAGGAGAAATTATTTACCAATTTATACAACAAATTCTTTAGCTATTTGGACGTATTACAATTTCCTTCAGTTTTTTCCGAGCTTTAAATAGCTTTAAATTTTGGTAATCCGACAGAAAATTTGCATTAGGATTTTCGGAGTTTTTCCGACATTAACAATGATGATAATAACGTCATCATAATAATGGAACGAATTTTCTATTGTATTCTTTTCCTCAGCAATAAGAAATCACTGAAAAGTCCTTCAGAGCTTCTCAGTTTTGCAAATTTAGCAGAGTTTTTAGCATTTATTTATCTACCTGAAATGAGTGAACAATGAAGTGATACCTAAGCAATGTTCATTCTAGACCCAAGAGAAGGAAATCCACAATTGGAACATACTTTGGCAGACACACGAAACCATCACACTGCCGGTCAAAGTTCAGTAAGTCAACAAGATCGGTCGAATGATGAGTATCTCTTAGAAAAATTTAACATCTTGGACTAACATCTCCGACGATGCTGTTGTTAATATCGAAGATATTAACATCGACGACTTCGATGGTAATATCTTCGAATATTAGCATCGCCGACGATGGCAACTTCCTCGATGACATCAAAATATTTTGTCGTTAATGAAGATTGTCTGCTTGCAGTATGCCAAAACTATTTATCCCTTCTCTCAGTATATAAGTTTTATAGTAAGATAAAAAAATTTTGGTCTTAAAATTTAACTTTCTTTTTTACCTTGGGAGAATTATCTAAGGATTTTATATAAAAAGAATATATGAAAAAATTTTCTATTGGAGCTTTGAATACTTTCGACGAATGCTTGCAATTCTTGGCGAAATTTCGGAAATATCAAAAATATCTTTAACCAGTTTTGATAAATGCTTTGATGAAGTAATTTGTCTGTTATAATGATAAAGAATTGCTTTTAAACCTTGCTTATACAAATCTGATGTCATTAGTGAATCTGTTATCAAGGAATTAATTTGTCATTCTGGATTGTTGTCGGTTAGAGCTAAATCAGCCATCCCTCCTGATTAACCGGATAATAGTTAATCAAATCTGATAATAAGTTTGTACCTACCACACCAAACACAATGTGGATCATACTTTTTAAAATACCCCAAGCATACCCACCAGCTTCTGTCGGCGAAATCGGAAAAAAAGTGTTATGAGTGGTTTTAATCAGAATTCGTTAATTCCTCAAGTAAATGATTTGTTACATAAAATTTAAAAATAAATATGTTAATACCTAAATTGATACACTCTTTTTCGGCAAATGGGTTGGAGAAACCATCAGTCCTATATTCCGGGATGCAATCGTGCATTCCGGATCAAGATTTACTAACATTATTATTCATTTAGCAACATTTCGCATAAGTGTTTTCGCATAAGCAGTTAGTGATATCTAATATGTGTAATATATTGATATGGAGAAAGTTAGTGATATTTTTAGTTAGTGATATCTAATATCTGTGATAACGGGTTTTCTAA